GTAATGACCCCTGTGAGAGCCTGGACGCATGATTCAGAGAGGCATATCTCTTTTTTAAGAATATTTTAAGCTTTGCCTGTGGAAAGCAGTTGCGGCACCCCACATCCAAAACCGCCAATGGGCAGAAGTCTGAGCCCAGAAAGTGTGCTCAGGTAAGGGATCATTAAAACTGAAAGATGCAGGTTTTTGCAGGTCTCCAAACACACAGCCTGCTGAGCATCGTGGTGTAGTGTCATTTTGACAACTCCTGAGAACTGCCACAGCGCTTCTGAAATCATCTCCAAACCATTCCAAAGAGTGCATTGACCCCTGTGAGAGCAAGGATCCTGATTCCTAAGGGTCCTTGCAAATAAAGTAAACTGTAACACTGATGATCAGGTTGTGATTTTGAAAGCTTTCAGGGAGTTAGGAACTCTGCACCCAGTGTTTTAGAATGCATAAAGTACTCCACATGGGATCAATAACTTTCTTAGTTAAGAAAAATTGTCATTGCCTAGCCAGATGTGAATCCTATAAACCGGAGATCTTTGAGTGAACATTCGAATGCCTGTATGACTCACTTGCAAGTGGTACACTAAAGATTGCCCACAGATGGCACAGTGGTCTGCTGGATGTAGCAGAGGTTGCTTCTTGTAGAGGAAGAACCATTCAAGTCGAATAAGGTATACTGAAATATTTTCAGTAGGGATGATGCAAAAAAAGTTGTGGGTTTTGTTTTTGTTTTGGGGTTTTTTTTAAGGAAGGAATTTTCTCATTTAAAGTGTTTCACAGGGACAGAAAAAAAAATTCTTCTGCCTGCTGCAGATACCTGCTGCAAATACTCTACCTACCTGCTGCAAATACCCTACCAAAAAGGGTATTTGTTTTCACAGCACCAATGTTTATCCCCTAAATGTGGAAAAATTGCACTGTTTTAACATCTCTGAGGGAAGTGTTTACTTTATCAGAAATGGTGTTTCAGAGAAGAGTGAGGTGTCCCTTTTAGGTCAGTCAGCTGGAGGGCAATGAGAAGATAATAAAATACAGAGCAGAAGACCCATTTTTCCACAGCCAATATTTTTTGACATGCCAACAGCAAAAGGTGAAGGTATGTCAAATTAGAGCTTTGATAGCTCTACTGATTCACTGTGCTCCATTATAAGGCTGCATATATTGAATTGTAGTGGTTTTAGCATGTGCACTAGAGCTTGAAGAGGCTTACATTAAATGTGCAAGGAAGAAGAGCAAGTCTTTTTGCATTGCTGTGAGCAGTGGGGCATTACTACAATTGATCCTGTCTTGCAGAACAATTTACCTGTGATTTATGGAGTAAAAGATGTCCCTATATGGCACCTCCCAAATTTCTGTATGTTACACACAAAAAAGGTGACCTAATGGTAGTGATACAGAGACAATTCTGTGCTCACTAGGAGCAAAGTGTATTTTACAATTACTCCTCATCATTTTCTTCTTCGAAAGAGTCAGTTCCTACTTCTTCATAGTCCTTCTCCAGGGCAGCCAGGTCCTCTCGGGCCTCTGAGAATTCTCCCTCCTCCATGCCTTCCCCCACGTACCAGTGCACAAAAGCTCTCTTGGCGTACATCAGGTCGAACTTGTGGTCGAGCCTTGCCCAAGCCTCTGCAATGGCTGTGGTGTTGCTCAGCATGCAGACTGCCCGCTGAACTTGGGCTAGGTCTCCACCAGGAACTACTGTAGGAGGCTGATAGTTGATCCCAACCTGGAAACAGGAATATGAGAGAAGATTGTAAAAAGGCAAGGGCAGAAAGCAGTCAAAGAGCTGAAAGAATGAAAGTACAGTTACAGATGCTGGGGTAGAGTGGTGCCACTATCAAAACTACCAGATGGCAAATGCCATAAAAAATAATGTCATAAACAGTATGATACATGGTCATTTTAATGGCTGTGTTATTTTTCAGTTTAATGTACACTGGCAACTTTGTAGCTTTCTTGACAGCTACTCACCATTGAACACAGAGTTTCTCCAAGACACTCTGTAGAAACTAACACAGAAAGTTGGTTCCCAGTTAAAAGTTTTCATTCTTAAATCAGCTATTTGTATGACAGATGTTTTTTCACTGCTAACGTCTATATTATTGTTGAAACTATGTTTCCCAACACTATTACGTAGCCAGTGGGGAGAGGCTGTATCATATTTCTGAGTTAGGACGTTAACTGACAGATTCCCTAGTACCAGCATTTCCTTTATTATTCGTTTTGGTATTTCCTTAGTTTCAGATGTTGCTTCAGAGGGAACACTCACCAGCTTTTTCAGAATTCAGATTTCAAGTGAATACTTCTTTCATTTTTAGCTGATGTACACTTCAGATTTCCACTTACATAAATATTGAGGAGTCTGTGTCAGTGGGTTCTCCAAAGGAGAAAAGGCCCCTTTATACAAACTCATGTTTCTTAAGTAGGCTCGTCTCCAAAGTGGGAAACATGCAAGGCCTAAAACTTTAATTACAAGCTTTCCGCAAGTCTGAACTTGCCCTTTAAGCATTAAAGAGAAGCTCATGGCAGCCCTACTCACCTTGAAGCCAGTTGGACACCAGTCGACAAACTGGATGGTTCTCTTAGTCTTGATGGCAGCAATTGCCACGTTGACGTCTTTGGGAACGACGTCACCGCGGTAGAGCATGCAGCAGGCCATGTACTTCCCGTGTCTTGGGTCGCACTTCACCATCTGGTTGTTGGGCTCAAAGCAGGAGCTGGTGATTTCAGCCACTGAGAGCTGCTCGTGATAGGCTCTGTCGGAGGAGATGATGGGGGCGTAGGTCACTAAGGGGAAGTGGATGCGCGGGTAGGGCACCAGGTTGGTCTGGAACTCCGTCAGATCCACATTGAGGGCACCGTCGAAGCGCAGTGAGGCGGTGATGGAGGAGACAATCTGGCTGATGAGGCGGTTGAGGTTAGTGTAAGTGGGGCGCTCGATGTCCAGGTTTCTGCGGCAGATGTCGTAGATGGCCTCATTATCCACCATGAAGGCGCAGTCTGAGTGCTCCAAGGTGGTGTGTGTGGTCAGGATGGAATTGTAGGGCTCCACCACAGCGGTGGAGACCTGAGGGGCTGGGTAGATGGCAAACTCCAGTTTGGACTTCTTTCCATAATCCATGGAGAGGCGTTCCATCAGTAAGGAGGTAAAGCCAGAGCCGGTACCCCCACCAAAGCTGTGGAAGATCAGGAATCCCTGCAGTCCGGAACAGGCATCAGTCTAGACAGCCAACAGGGAAAGTGAAAGAATAGGGGCTGAAGAAGAATGAAAAGACTTCAACTACCTCATGAGCTTATTCTGAGCTGAGGGAGGGAGCAGTTTTCAGCAATATACAGCATAGCTTTCATGTCAGTTTTCTTGAGAATTGGATGGTGATAATCCCTCACTGGATCAGCTTATGACATAAAATCAGACTCTTATATGTGGAGCTTCTCTCTCTGAATTTCACACTTCCTTTAGTTAGCCTGGCTGAGACCAGCAATGTAGAACTGCCCAATCCATCCTTCCATGTCAGTGTTGGTGCTCTAGGGCTCTGGTAATAATGAAGAATTACATATCCAGAACCGCTTTTTAAGAGTATCTGGAGGTGTACAGCTGGGAAGTGAACTACTGGGCTTCTCTCTCTTGAACTAGTAACAATGCCTTTGTATGTCTTGCAACCTCTTTTCTGAACCATTGCTATAATTTGTAGTTAACGAGCTGCCTGTTCTGCGCCTCTTTCTTCTGCAGAATCCAAACTGCTCTTCCAAAACCACGGGAACTTACCAGCTTACGGACACGATCCAGCACCATGTCAATGCTTTCTTTGCCGATGGTGTAGTGACCTCGAGCATAGTTGTTAGCTGCGTCTTCCTTTCCAGTGATCAGCTGTTCTGGATGAAAAAGTTCCCGGAAGGTGCCAGCTCTCACTTCATCTGAACAAGAAAGAGACATGGTGAGAAGCTGCATGGCTGTGGCTCCAGTGCCAACAGGTTCTGGCTGTTGGGGGTATTGATACAAACTTTGAGTCCCAGCAGGCCATAACCCCAAAAATTGAGGTGGATGGAGATGGGAACTGTCTCCTAAGCATTTTTTCATTGCTGCATTTGGTTGATTTATGTTGTGACTTGTATCCAGCAAGAGCAGTTGTTCCCTTCTCATGAACTTGCCAGTTGTACAGCCTGTACCCACGAGAGGACAGGTCATCAGGAAAAAAGCGTGAAGAAAATGGGGTTCCCCCACGTGCTCCAATTTTTAGAAATCCTTATATTCCTGGAAGGAAACTGTCAAGCTCCCAGTTTGAATCCAAATCCAAGAAAAAGAGAATTCAAATGGCAAAAAAATGTCACAACAACCAAACCAAAAGTTCACTGCTTGTGCAGAGAGAGGTCACACAAAGCACAAGCACTAGCTATTAACCTGCCAGGACCCTGCTGCTCCTGTAACACCTATGGCAGAACCCGGCATTCTGGGTCACAAGAATATTGATTTCATGCTATCTAGTGGTACACCGAGGTACAGAGGGCGTGCTGCTCTGTACCGGGGGGGCTGGTGGCACACCATGGGGATATTAGGAGTAAGTTCTTCTCCACTTCCCAGGTTTGTTTCTGTACTGACCTACCACAGTTGGCTCCAGGTCCACCATTACAGCCCGTGGCACATGCTTCCCCGTGGCCGTTTCATTAAAAAATGTGGTAAAGGAGTCATCGTAGTTGAGTTTATCGTGCAGTTCCTTGAAGGTGCCGTCGGGCTGAATGCCGTGCTCCAGGCAGAAAAGTTCCCAGCATGCATTTCCTATCTGAACTCCAGCCTGGCCAACATGAATAGAGATGCACTCACGCTAAGGGGAGAGAGCAGAGACAGGGTCAGAGAGAACAGTGCACACTAGTCCTCCTTATGCCGAGTGGTTACTTTTCCCCAGTGCATTGCTTTTCCAAAAAAATGGGTGTCCGTCACTGTCAGCATTTCATTTGGTGGTTCAACCCCATGACCGCAATGAGACTGTACGTAAACACGCCAGATACAGGGACAGCGCTGTAAAAATTTGAGATCTATGTGCTGTAAGATATGGGTACCTGAAAACAGGCAGGAAAGAAAATATTCAATTACAGAAACGCCAGCTCTCCTCCTGTGGATTGGCCCTACTGGGGAGCACATCCCAGTTTAGTTTATTTTTACTCCTGGCTGGAACCTGACACAGCCATGTGGTATCCTCCAACCTCACGTAACCCGAGACAGGTGATGTCTTTTGATCCTTTCACCCGCGGATAGCAGGCTGGAGTGGCAACTTGGAAGGACCGCTTTAAGCAATATTCGCCTCAGGAAATTATTTCAGATGCTCTTGGTTGAAACAAGTGTCGCTTCACGCTCCCGAGCAGCTATGAGTTTTACACTGCAGGGACTTTGCTTATTCAGTCAGTGTTGTTGCAATATAGCGCGTTTGTTTGCATGATTTTGAGCATAGTTTCTGTGGTAGCCAGGAACTTTAATAAAAAGAAGACAATGTATGTAACACCAGGCTAAAATAGGCAGGTGCCAATTGCTCCAAAATCCTTTACACTTAGGAGTACAGGGGTATGAAGGACCTGATGCTGGATTTTGTAAGTTCAGAAACAGAATTACAAAGTAGGTGCTTCTGAATTAGTCCAGGTGATTACGACAGCAGGTGTAGTGAAAGGCAGTTTTGAAGGGGAGAGTGCTGTTTCTGCTTTGGAGCAGTTGTAATTAAAGCCTTCTGAGCTCCATCTTTGTGATCTCAATGACCCGGTCTGTACTAGGGAGCAGGAAAGGGTCAGTCCATAGTAGTAAACACTGGCCTGTGATCACCTGCACTGACTGATAATTAGCACACTCTGGCGCAGTTTTGGCTCATGCCAGTTCATACTTTTCCAGACAATGCCTGAGGAACCATCCAGAATACGACTCATTTGCAAGAATGGTTTCCAGTGAGCAACTCACTGACCACTGCCTAGAGAGAATCCAGATGCCTAAATACAAAGCAGGCCATCCTACCTTGCTTCAAGGCCACAGAACGGTCCTCGCTCTTTTTTATTTTGTAATACTGCATTTAGAGATATCCAGTGACTTAATATTAGATTTGGCCAGTTTTGGGGCTTTTTTTTAAATTCTGTAACTGCTTACCCTGCAAAATATCTGTGACCTGAGAGTAAAATGCGTCTTCCCCAAAGCCTGCATCCTCAGGCAGAAGATGCGACCAGCAGCATCTCTGGGGCAGTGTCCTTCACAAATTGACATGTATTTATGATTTAGAAATATAACTAAAGATATGTGTTCAGAAGCAAGTGGAATTTCAGAAGTCCCCACTGCCCCACTTAGTCATCCTCAGAAGTTCAAATAAACATGGAAAATCAATTTAAATGTTTGATTCAATGAAATCTATTATTTCCATTCAGTACTCATTTGTAAGTTGCTGACTCTGCAAGAGCATGTGCAGCAGTGTGTGTAACATGCTCTCAGGTATACTTGCACAACTGTTTTTCTCATTTGAATTGTGCAAAAGTACCTGAGATGTTTGTGTGACTATGAGGCTTCATAGGTTGGTGTGTTGCAGGGGAGTTGCAATTGTGAGGATTAGTCAGGAGACACTGAAAGCATATTTGGGCGTAGAGAATTCAATTAATGCGGATTTTGCACAGGACAGGCTCCTGCTTGTCTTTTAAATCCCAGTGTGAATCTGTGAGGCTGGCAGCAAGCAAAAATAAATATTTCTTCTTCCTTTTAAACATGGAGGTGAGGCCAGTGACTTTTTTTAAAGGATGTATTTTAGAGCAAAACTACAATTATGAGTCAAACAATATTTGGAACCTACTTTACCATCATGAGTCAAACAATATTTGGAACCTAAAGAGCTACTTTGCTCCATTCCTCAGATCAGTATAGGAATGGGTCTATTTTTTCCCAGATGGAACAAGTGGACGTTGCTTTGGGAAGTTAATGCTGTAAAGCTCAGTACAGGACTAGGGCTGAAGACGGCAGAACCAGTTCCTTTCCTTTTCAACTGAGCCTTCAGCTCTGCTAGTTTGAGGCAGTATCTCAACCCTGTCTTTTAAGCCAGGCCTCTTGCCATGCTCCTGCCTTCGCCTCCCATCTTCTCCTGCCCCAGCAGTAATTTGGGAATATTCTGACAAGGAGAGAAGATAGTATCAAAGAGGTTTCTAATTTTGCATAGTAAACAGCTTTAAAATAGATATCAGACTTTTAGTAGGGAAAAGAGTTGGCCTTCTTTAGGGTCACAGGCAGAGTAAACTGATCTCTAGATGATATTTAAATTTGGAGCCTGCTCCAAACTCAGGTTTCACATCCCATCACTAATGTACCACAACCTGTCTTACAAGTTGGGGACCAGTCTGTCAACCAAGAGACAGCTAAAAAGGCCAGGTCCTTTGTGAAACTAAACCTGGGACCGCTTTGTCTCAAAAAACCCCAGACTACTACCTGGCTTAAGTACTTACTCTACAGAGGCAGACTTTAGTCTTCCAGCTATTCCCAAAACATACTCGCTACCCTAGGTCTGCTTTAAGGCACAGGGAACCTGTGGAAGTGTGTACCTTCCCTGCAAAGCCAGCGCTCTTGTTCTGGACCTGCAGCTGCACTGGCAGAAAATATCATCATTGCTGGCACTAAAATATGGCTCAGCATTAGCCAGAAATTGGAGTACAAGGTGAAATGGATTTTTCACATTCTAAGAGGTTTTGAGAGATTTCTACAAATTTATAATAACCCTCAAATCCTAAAAACAAAGGACCTTTTTTACTTATTTAAACGCATACACATATGGAAACATGCATGTGCTCCAGAAACACACACGTATATGCTGTCTGGCTACAAACAGTACAGACATTGGGGCTAAATTTGTTTTTGAGAAATTTCTACAAATTTATAATAAACCCTCAAATCCTAAAAACAAAGGGCCTTTTTTACTTATTTAAACACATACACATATGGAAACACGCACGTGCTCCAGAAACACACATGTATATGCTGTCTGGCTACGAACAGTACAGACATTGGGGCTAAATTAATTTAAGACAGACATAAAGGTAATTAACTTCCTTGGTTCATTTCTGAAAAAATTATCTTATATGAAAATGCACCTGTGGTGAGAAGACATAGTCACAAGAGAGGGTACTAAACAGCAGAGACTCCAGACCTAATTTACCTTATAATTCCACTAGTGAGGGAGATTTTGAAGAAAACCTTGGCTCACCACACCTCACAGCTCCAGTGAGATGTTCTGACACTCCTTTCCCATTCTCTTACGCAGCAATCGGCACGTGAGACCAGGGGTTTGTGGCACAAACCACTGCTAAGGGCAGATCCCCTCGCCCGCGGCCCTCCCAGTTCCCACATGCCCCTTACCATGGTGTCTCCAGTGGTGCTTCCTTCCCTGGCAGGTCAGCGGTGGCAGGTCTCTGCAGGAGCCCGGCCGTGGGCTGCGGGACGGGCAGCAGCCTGGGCCCAGCACCCAGCACCTGCTGCTGCGCTTCAGTGTCACAGGGCGGCGGGGAATAGGTCACAGGCTCCACGTTCTGCCGCTGTATCGCCGCCTCCTGCCCTCCCCACCACCCCACAAATGCCAGTTCATCCAGACAGGCATGGAAACGTATACCCCAGACTTCCACTTTAGTCCCGCCTGGTTTGGCGTGCTTATTAAACCTGAGCGTGGCCATGTAACATGCCGTACCCTGCACTGTCGAACACCTGAGTATTATATAGCACCTGCGAGACACATGCCATCCCAGTTCTCTGTTCTGCCAGCGTAGATAAAAATCACTCCTAAATTCCAGTACAGAAGACCAAGAAGGCATAGGAGAGCAAACGAATGGAAAAGAGAAGGATGGAAGAAAAAACTAAAATAGAAAACTGGGAAGTAAATATAATTACCATTCTGAAGTGTGCTCTACCAGTGCTCTTAAATGCTGGCCTGACTTCTTTCTGTCCTTACTCCAGCTGCCTCTCCCTCACTCTTTCGGTTTACTCCTATTGCTTCTCTTTCCACGTAGTCATCTGGGCTGTCAGCAGCGTGGGACAGTATTCGGTACAGACTCCAACTCCTCTGTCCAAACACAGAAAGAAATTTGATTCTTATTGCAGTGCTCATTGCAAGACATAGCTGGAGGCATCGCACAAACGTTCTCACACCAAATTAGGGCAGTTGCCTCCGCCACTTTATTGTTTGCTCCTTCTGCACTAGCTCAGCCTTGGAAAGCCGCAGCTTCTCTCAGTGGAGAAATCCTCGCGTTTGCAACTCGTAGGTAAAAAAAGGGAAGGCACACTTAATTGCTTGAATCTGAGTATTATGGATCCCCTGACTTTATAAACATACTGTTTATTATGCTGTGTAGTCAGTAGAAATTTAAATACGCAATTCCTAAAATCTAGGCTAGCCTACTTCTACACAATATTAATAAATTGTTCTGCCACTGTTGGCAACCAGCATCTAAGTATCTTCTTTAATGCCTACATTTTAACAGTGTGAAGTAGTTTACACTGGTTTTTATAAACTCACCTTTACTTCGGTATAGTCTTCATTTTGTGATCTTTACCTAAATCTACAAATCACAACTCTTTGATTTTTGGCTGGGAAAACCTACGGAGATTTCTGGAGCCACAAATATGTTTTACAGAGGAAGAATTTCCATGCTAATTTCTATCTGCTGCTTTGTTTAAGCCGAGTCCCACACTTCTCCAGAAAACCATCACACCATTGTTTTGAGACTAAGGAATAGGTTGTTCTAGTGGTGTTCTTCCAATGGAATTAGTAACAGCTGAGCTCCGGTGCTCAGGACAATCTGAAATGTTCATGCTCGTGGCTCCACCAGATGTAGAGGTCCACGCAGAGAATCACCTCTGGAAAAAGTCTCACAGCAAATACTTTGAGCAGTCCACCACCCACATCCTCTTAGGCACTCTTTGAGTCACCATGTCACGTCTAGCAGCTACAAACCCTATAAGAGGTCTGTGAATTACTGAATTATTTCCAACTTAGTCCATTGCTGCATTTTCTCTGCTCTTCCATGGCCCCCCTCCTCCCCTCTGAAACAGGCCGTGAGAGCACCTCTGAAGTAAGTGTTAATCATTCCTCTCTCCACCCCACGCAACTGTCCTGGGACCCACAGGCTCACCGATGGTGGGTTGCCACACTGGGCAGTCTCACAAGACAAAACTCCCAGGGAGCAGGGAGCGACAGTCTCTGAGCGGTGTCCCTGGCTGCTGGGAGCACAGTGGCTATGTCCCTTCTCTCTACAATCAATTGAGCTTGAAGAGCCTGGGGATGACCCAGGTTACTATTTTGCCCTTTCTCACACACGCGTAGCTAAGAAAAAGGCCTTTGCAAATTTGCTTTAGACCAAAGACAGTGCTTGACCTGCTCTGTTTCGAGATAGCCCATGAACTCAAGTGCTGGAAATCTGTGCTGGTCCGGGGTGAAGGCCAGACACAGACGTAAAAGCACTGAGGAAGACTTGTGCGTACTGTTTTTCTTGAGGTTTCCTTATGTTTCTCTGTCTGCCTGTGTTGTGGAGTGCTTGGGCAGAAAACCCTCAGCCTAGAGAGTAGCCTGAAAGCACACTGTGGGACGGTGCTCCCAGTGAGCATTGTTGACCCCAGAGTCAGCCTCTAGGCTCTGCTCTGTCACGACATGAAGCAGATATGGCCTGGACCTGGGCATTTGTAAAGAAAGTCATCTTGCTTGATGCCTGGCATTCAACCTGCACGGGCAGATCGTGAGCTGGTAGGGAACATCTCTCTGTCCTGCGTGGAACAGGCTTGAGACATGCCCTGCATGGGGAGGGCTGATAGCCTGGCAGCCCGGTGAAGACCTGCCCACTTCAGCTTTTACAATGTGACACTGGTAGGTGATCATAGAATCATAGAATCTTGTAGGGTGGACAAGACCATTGAGATCGTCAAGCCCAACCATTAACCC